ATACAACACACACTACTTTTATATTTATATAGAAGTAGTTACATGGACATACAACACACACTACTACTATATTTATATAGAAGTAGTTACATGGACATACAACACACACTACTACTATATTTATATAGAAGTAGTTACATGGACATACAACAGACAGTACTATTATATTTACATAGAAGTAGTTACATGGACATACAACAGACACTACTAGTATATTTATATAGAAGTAGTTACATGGACATACAACAGACACTACTAGTATATTTATATAGAAGTAGTTACATGGACATACAACAGACACTACTATTATATTTACATAGAAGTAGTTACATGGACATACAACAGACAGTACTAGTATATCTATATAGTAGTTACATGGACATACAACAGACAGTACTAGTATATTTATATAGAAGTAGTTACACGAACATACAACAGACAGTACTATTATATTTATATAGAAGTAGTTACATGTACATACAACAGACAGTACTATTATATTTATATAAAAGTAGTTACATGGACATACAACAGACAGTACTATTATATTTATATAGAAGTAGTTACATGGACATACAACAGACAGTACTAGTATATTTATATAGAAGTAGTTACATGTACATACAACAGAGATCACTATTATTTTTCTACATTTTACTCATTTCTAGTCAGTAAAACAAACATTGTCTGTAGAACAAAAAAGTCAGTTGAGACCACCTGTTGCTGTAATTTTAGTTAGGCCAAGGTACTGTTTTAGTAATCAATACTAGATCAATACTTTGCAGCAATCTAGTTTTTGTTTTTTTTGTAAATTGTACAGTCGAGACTTCTTTAGTTTTACATTTTCTGAATTTTTTAGATACGACGATTACAGTTTGCTATTTTCATTGCATTAATAATAAACAATCTTGCTAATGCAGCCACAGTTATATGTTTTTAGATAGGTAACTGGTATTATTGTACATTACACAATAATACTTGTAAGGAGTTGTTCAAACGTGTGTATAAAGATTTTTGATGATATTTTTATTTAAAATGGGCAGTAGTAAGTGTGATATAGAAGATACGCAGATATTAGGTGAGAGATTTAATTATTAAAATATTTTGTATTTATTATTCAAAATAGATAGTTATCTGTGTCATGAAGAACGATTTTTTTTTTCTCCATTAATCTTTATCCCAACTCTTTAGTACGATGATTCGTCACTTCCAGACACTTATACTAAAATATTCACGTAGGATGTTACTATACACTATTCTGTTTTTAGAGGTGGGAAAGTTGAAATCTATTAGCAATTTTGTGAAAAACATAGTAATAGAGAATTAATATGCAGCTATCATTGCCTTAAAACATGTCACCCAAAAATATTTACAGGGAAAAAGTTGAAATGCATAAATTTAGTGAATGGAAACAAACTAGATAAGTTTCTAGTAGAGCTACTTACGCAGAGATGAAACCATTAAGTTTGAAGTCGGGAACAATGAAAAGAAGGGCAGTTAAGTCAAAATGGTCACTTATAAACAGTTGTTAATGATAATGATGCGTCTCTGTTGTTTGTGATGATAATGTTGACCAGTTATTGACCAAAACTGTAATTCAGTAAATGTTAAATGTAGATAGTAAGTATTTCTGACGTGACAGATTACTTACAGTTATCGTGAAATAATTGATATTCAATTTATGATATTTCAGAGCTGTCACTCCCCCCCTGTAAATCTTAGGCTGTATGGCTGTTCTATAGAAACAAATTGTTTATATAAAACTTATCACTGTAATGTGAAAAATTACCGTTTTTTTCTGGAATATCAATTCTAGACAAGTACTTTTGAAAGCTGACAAAAATATTTTTCTTACTCCGTACATTTATGAATAATGTTCGACTGTGGGGATAGTGAAGATTCTTTATTACAGAGCTGTTATCCCTCTGTAAGTCCTATGTTTGGTGACTGTTTTTGTAAAACTTATTACTGTAAAATGAAAAATTATTGTTTTGCTGGTATGTAAACTCCATTCAAGTACTTTCAAAAGTTGGCAAAAAAAAACAACTTTTCTTCCTCTATACATTTATTTCTATTGTGATTCCTTCAGGGCTAGTACGTAAAACCGAAGAAGCCGCAAAGGCAAAATGTCACTTTATATAAAAGTTCTTTTATAATTATCTGGAGCGTAAAGGTCGTTTTGTTCGAATGTGTAAATCCCTGCAGTATGCACTACAAATTTTAAAACACAACAAAATATGTCTGACTATGGAGATAACGTTTTTCAAAAGAGCTGTTAATTAGTACAGTAGCAGGGGGTAGTCTTACCCTACATGTAATGTGTGTTAAGCTGCCATCTTTTTGCAGTGCTCATTTGTAGTTGCTCTATATGTAACTATCACTATTACATGTCTTGCTTTACATTTATTTAATTTTTTTTTTCTTATTTACGATTTGATTTTTTTACCATCGTTATCTTTCAGTAATGTTTCAAGTATCCGTAACTCTGCCAAGCTCTGTACTAAACTACATCTCGGTGCTGTCCACTGTGCTAGGTTCAGTCCTGATGGTACGTTTGTGGTTTCTGTTGGTGAAGACAAGATAGTTCGGGTAGGTTGAATACTCGGAGATCGTTAACAAAACATCTTGGATACTTAAGGCTTAAGGAGAATTAATTGTAATGTTTAAAGCTTACCGTCTGATATAGAACATGTTAATCAAATAATATAAATTTCTTTTAATTTGATTGACGGCATTTTTTATAATAATCAAAGGGGAAAAAAGTTTAATACCTTGAAACCTTCAAAGATGTACATTATATTTGATTAATTATTCTAATAGATTTACATTAGGTGTTAAAGGATTTACAAAGAACAGGTTGTTTGCAAAATGACTACGTCATGTGAAAATGAGCTTCATTCGGGGGTCCGTCATGAGTGTATGCCTAACACGTATTTATGCATCGGTTTGTGAACTCGAAGAGAAGATTTAAAGCCACTCTATAAACCTACTAAAGTGATTGAATAATTTAAAAAGTTTTTACACTTCCCTACACCAGAACCTGATACTCAGCTATGTAACATTCGTGTCCCGTAAGAATGCATAAATCTCAAGACACATCCCATAATGCCTTATATGAACAGTACTTTTCTCAAATTTGTTTTCGTTCTTTTAGCAAGACTTTTAAAATTGGAAATTGACACAGGTTACCAGTAATAGCAGAGCACATAGAAAGCAGTTTACATATCTTAACCACTTAACACTTGTATCTTTCATAACTTGTTGACAATATTTCTGAGGTTTAAAAATATATTACGATTGTTTAAGTTTAAAAACAGTTTTTCTCAGTACTTATTATAATGTTTTGTAACTGTTATAGTGGAACAGTTTAGCCCTTTCTTGATTTGAGTTTGAAGTTTTCTGTAAAATGACGAAACACATGATCTTTGCGTGTGTATTAACACAGATGTCCAAATGTTAATTATGTTTGAAAATTGTAATTCAGTTTGAAATAAAATTGTTTGCAATTTAAAGCTTCTTTATCTCAGGTATGGGACATCCGGCTGGGATTACAACTTCATTGGTTTCAAGGTCACGAAGGGCCCATAAAATGCTGCTCTCTCTCATCCACAGGTTTCGAAATTGTCACTGCTTCTGAAGATAGTACTGTCCGACTTTTCAGGCTAAACCCCAGTGTACTGAGAACTGATAGCATCAGTAATATTTTCATTAATATGTTTTTAGTTACGAGACATTTTTTTCATAGAATTGAATCAGTATTTTAGGTTACTTATAGTTACATTATATATATATATATATATATATATATATATATATATATACTAGTTCGGCCGACTACTACTTTCCTTTACCAAGTGGACTATAACTAAAATTAACGTT